CACGCTAATGGCCGTGTTCGCGTATGGACCACTTGTCGTTACTGAAGAATTACTCCTATGTTGACAAAGGCTCAGATCGTGAACACCGGGAGGTCCTCTGGCTCCTTTTGGTCCAGGTACTCCAGTATCCCCTTTGAAGCCCTGAGTTCCATTGTATCCTTGTGGACCTCGGAGACCAGGGACACCTGGAAGTCCCTGACGGCCAATAGCACCAGCGATTCCGGTTTTTCCAGGAGGCCCTGGAGACCCTTTAGGACCTTGAAGTCCTTGGGGACCTGGGGGCCCTTGTAAGCCCAAGACCCCTGGCGGACCGACAGGGCCTGGTGGTCCTTGAAGTATGGTACCATGGTGATCTGTCACCAACTTAGTCTTATTTATCTGCAAAGTAAAAACAGCAATTTTAATTTCTAGCAAAATTTTTCGAAATGGTGGCACAAAGGAGGTCGTATCCTTACAAAACTAAAACGCCTGCCTTAGAGCACCTCGAACGCGTGATATCGGTTAGTGGTCAATGACGTGGCATCGCCTGGAAGATCTTAAAGGTAGGTATGATGATGAAGATCACGGAACGCACGCGCTGCTTGTACTCCATTCCAGTCCAAATGTTATGAAACATTTCAGTATAGTTAAACAAAGAAAATATCTTCAACATCCAGAAAAGGAAAACTTACATAGGCAAATAAATAATCCAGTCTACTTCTCTGACTCGTCAGGTTTGCATTCATTTTGCTTTCAGTTTTTTTCATCTCATGCATTGTGTTTTGAAGAACGGTTATAGCATTCCTTATCAAGGCTTCGTTCTGAGTTAGCTTTTCCAACTCTTGCTTTAAACTATTAGCTGAGTCCTTTACGACAACCTGTGATGGTGGTGGCGGCTGAGGTGCCTTATTTGGACCTGCCGTTGTTAAAAAAAAAAAAAAAAACCATGACATGAAATAGAATGACTAAAATAAAAATACTTGCTAAGCATGGGGGAATAAAGAGAGAATCGCGCAATGGTATTGAATCCGTACAAATATTGTTGACGCTTATAAATATGTTTATGGGGATGACTTTAATTGGGTTCGGTTTCTTGAGTGCGGGCTCAGGTTCCCGAACAGTGGCATCATGTAATCAAACCTAGAAATTCATCTGATCCAGTTTTTAAAAAAAAGAAAGCGGAGGACACCGGAAAAATGCTACAGCTTTGATTCAGACGTCTTAATCGCCTCGTTTCGAGCTATATGCATAATTTATCT